TAAAAAAAAAAGTAATGAGAAATAGTGAATGTATACATAAAAAACTGAGCTAATTTTCTGAGAAATTGAATATCATAATGTCAAATTTAATAGAATATGTAAAAAAAAACGAGAATAACTCATATAAGGTCTTTGTTACGGTTTTATTGGCGTAGGTAAAATCATTATTCTTACGTATGCATATTTTAAGATCAAATACATACGATGCATAAGACAAACATAAAAACAACAAATTCTTGTAAATGCGCGAGACGTACATATATGTACCTATCAAGTATTCTTGCTCAAATTATTGAACCTACATTTTAGCGAACTGTTGAAAAGTTAAAATTTGATATATTTATTATAGATGAGTAATTTTTACACATTATTTGATTAAATTAATTATCGGATTGTAAGACCAAACTTCAAAACAAAAAGTCACTGGGCGGGCAGAAATATGAGTCGAATAAGAAGGTTATCGCCGCCATGGAGGCCTACTTTTTATCGCACATTTTCGAATGTTTCTCTCAATGTCATTTTCCATATTTCGTTTAAGGTTGGGGAATGGTTAAATGTCATTTCAGAAAATGTAATGTAACTCCTGCCAGCGCCACCTTCAACTAACTTAGTTGAAGGTGGCGCTGCTCCTGCTTATCAGCACCGATTTTCACGATCTTGGTTTCCAGAGTTTGCGCTTCTATACAAGGAGAAATCTTGTTAAATTAGTTCACTCTGTGCCCACTAGATACTGTTTTATTGGATGTGGCACTATTTTTTGAAACTTTTTGAGAATCCCAAATTCAAAGTTATACTTTATAATATTGCTCTGAAACAGCATAAAAAATCCTATAAAATGGCAAAAACTGCAGATCAGTACATTTATTCATTATGGAGATACGAATAATTACAAATTTCAAGTACTATTGGATGAAACAAAAATTCATGGTATGAATAGTTATATAAAATGTATCAATATGATACGATTTCAAGGTATTTTACATGGAAATTTATTTTTACAATTTTTATAACCGATAGGAGTCGGAAGTGCTGCACGATTTATGAACAAATCATACTCCAATTATACCTCATATTTTAACTCAGTTGGCTTTGGAATATGAAGAACACATGACATACTGTGCTTTTTACCTGCTTGTCTTCACTGGAAGAGATCAAATTGCTATGCCTTTGAAAAATGTAATCATTAAAGCTTCTCAGAAATAATAAACAGTCTAAAATCCAACTGCAACTCAACTTCTTGATATTTTAAAAAGATCCTAGTGGATAAAATCGTAAAAGTGGATCGTTAGCACCCTGTGTAATTTGCTATATTTTCTAAAATAAATTCAAGAACTCAAATTAAAATTCGTTTATTCATGTCAGTAAACACAATTATGTTTACAAGGGTCATGTGGTACATGGTAACAATTGAATGACGGTCATAAAAATTTCTTATGCCCTCAAAATAAGAGGAAACAGTTAGGTAGTTTTCGCAAAGCAATAAACAGGTAGGCTTATACCTGGATTAAGTACATTTCTTGTCTACTGTAATAGGTAGGTGGAGGCGATGCTGCCAGAAATGGATTTGTGCTATTAATAAACAAACCACAAGATCGAACTGTGGTGTCCAATGATTTTTGTATTGCCTTACTAGAAAACTCTGTTGGGTATATGATGGAGTTTACCAGAACTTTACAGCTTGTTGTCTGCCTTCTTCTACAAACTTCACCAAATCGAGACGCTGTCAACCTTAACCTCCGATGAAGGCGCGACAAAGTACAGTCCTGTGACTTGTTCGATCTGCAAAATCTCGTCGTCACTTTTTCAAGTTTCCCTAAAAATTTTCGCTTAGGAAGCTCCAAATCAATGTAGTTAATATCAGGTTTTTGATTGGATTTGCCATAAAACTACTCATTTTCTTTGGAATTGCTATCTGAATTGTTAGTTATTTTTATATCAGCTTTTTTTCAAGATTCTTGCGTTTGAGTGTTTGTTCCATCTTAGCAATAAGCGAGGTTGGACTAAGCTTAGAACGCAAATGTACAGGCCGCTGGGTATTGTGGCTCACTAAAGCTGCAGCACATCTTCCATGGTATGACCTCTTCTTGCAATGTATTTTGCGATAATAGAGTTGACCTGCTCCACACTATTGTTGACCTCATCATGAATTAAACTCACTGCATTCGTAAAATGGTCGCATATGGCCCTTTATTGTCCATTATCAGCCTTGATAAAAAAAGGCACTCAAGAACAATCACACCAACAACAATTCAACAACACAATATTGACGAACAGTAACAAGGGGCGAAAAATACTAAATGATCACTTGCTGAGCACCCAAATAGGAAAGGATTTACAGGCTAGAACGCTAATCGAAATCTGACTGTTATTATAAAAATTTACCTTGGTATGCACCTGCAGTCATCCTTTCCTCTTTTAAAGTAGCGCCGACGACCGTCTAGGGCCAGCCCACCCTCGTTTCCTTTTCACCCCCCCCGTTACCTCGGCAGATGGTGCTCGTGATTGTAGGAGCCCCGTTAATATAATTTTTTTTTTGGTGAAAATGTAGTGTCAACAAGTTTTATACTTGAGTTTATGCAGTGGGTGGTATGAAAGTGCAAGGAAGGTAAATACGATTTTTTTGCCCTAGCTAAAATGAGCATAAATAACCTTTTTGATGGAAGAACAGTTTTTGCTTTTTCATCAAAGCGATGTGTGTATTTTGAGAATTTCTTTGAATTTTATGGGATAAAATTACTTCCTCACTAGTTGCGGGAGGTAAAAAAAACTGAAAAATAAAAGTTACCTAACAGGAACAGATCCTGCATTTGTACCTAAGAATGCGTCATCATTATCACACTCATCTTTGATGATACATTCCTCTGTAATTTCCGTAACTGGATATTTCTCGCTGTCATCAAGACAGTTTTCAACTTTCAATTCTTCTTCTGCCTCACTTTTTATCCTGAAACATGTCTAACTGATTAAAGAGCCTGTAACATAGAGCCTTATAGCATTGACTGGTATATTCCCCAAGAAGCTATCCGACCCTATGCTGTATCTGAATGTACACATACAATTTCCATCATAATAGCCATGGTTCCAAATAGAACCACAGTAATTCTCTTAGAAGATTAAATTATATTGCTTCACAACTTTTTTCAAATGACCTGACGGGTGCTGCACAAATGCCAACGAGTAGAAACTAGAAAGTACACAAAATGACAGGTTTCAGCAGATGCAAAATTAACAGGAGTGATTGACCACTGTGACCAAACCTTACTTTATTCTGTGGAATTTTGTAACAATTCCTCGTAAGCAGAACCTATTTTTCCTACTTACTATTTATCAGGTAAAATAAAAAATGGATTTTGAGGATCAGTTTCTTATTGCATCCTTTTTTTTTGCAATGTATTGTATTCAATTGCACAAGATGAGAATAGAAGGCAGGCCAAATTTGAAAAAATAGAGTCACATAATTGCATTCTGATTGGCTCGGAGAAGACAACAGAATGGAAAAGTCTAATCTTGATTTACTGAATATGCAACTGAGTTTCTGTTTACGTACAATTATGCAGCAGCCTTTATTATTCTAAAACAAATAATAACATGGAGCTAGAAGCTAGTTCATCTACATCACCATTAGTATCAAGTTTGATGTTTATGTGATTTATAATTTCTGGAACTGGAAGTCTGAAACATCCATAAGTATTGCTTAAAAGCAAGCGCCAGTTAAATATAAAAAATATCCAGAAAATGTATTTGAATTCCTTACCTATCCAAAACAGAATTTTTTGCGTTTTCATTATCACATTTAAAATTCAATTTCCACGAGGCGTTATCAAGTTCAAATAGCTTGGTGTCTGCCTCTACTGCCTGGAATCCAACTGCAACTTCCCCAACTTCCCCAACTTCTATCTTCATGATGTCTCCAGCATCCATGATCGTTTATAAAAGAGGCAGGATTGTTAACAATCCTGATTCAAGTATTAAAATTCTGCTTTACAAGTTTTTACTTTAGTATAGCATTAATACAATACCTTATTAAAGATAGAAAGACGATGAACTGATTACAAAATTTATAATACTTCTATTTGTAACAAATTTACATAAATGTTCAGTACAGTTTTGAAGTCACAGAACAGAACACTGATTTGAAACTAAAAACGCTCACAGGACACGAAGAATTGAAGTCTGTCATAAATGTCAAGCTTTGATTGTAGAGTTGGACAAACCATTACAATTGTACTAGAAGTTATCACGATTTCATATAGACTTTGTAAGAACATTCTTGTGCTTTCAACATCTCTCTCATATATAACAATGTCGAGTACTTGCTGAAAGTTCCACTGAGTCGTTGATAAAGCTACTTATTTTCTAAAGGCAACCCAACACTAAGTTTGGACACAAAAGAACTTTTTCTGCCACTTCTACGTGTCAATTTTGAATTTGACCTTACAATTTTGCCTCAAATTGAACAGCGAAAACAATTTTTTGGAATGTACAAACACTCGGATCATGGGCGCCCATTGGGGCTGGCTTCTGCTTTAAGTGAAATATTAATAAGATACCCAATCCTTGGGGCATGAAGTGGCGTGTGAGTTTTTCTTTTGCTCTTCAAAACATGAACAAATAGAAGATATTATTTCTGCTAAAATTTTGAATAGTTATCCTGAACAACCAGTAAACCAAACATGCGCCCCTGGATTTTGCTATATGGGTGCTCATGCACAAGATGGTTTACAATAACGCGCAAACACAAACGTAACTTACCAAAATGAAAGCAAATCCACTCCTTTTTCAAGATATTAGAGAAATAAATCGGTCATTTATATGTTTGACCATCCTGTATGAGACGCATGTATCGTTGAAAATAATGTAAATTTTCGCAATTTGCGGAGACTTGCAGCGCTTTTTTATCCCACAAGAACAGAAAAACAATAACTTTCCGGACAAACTTGGAAAAACGATTTTGATGAAGTATTGAATAATTGTAAGGAATTATGAAAATAAAGCATAACCACAGTATCACTAATATTTTATTTAACTTCGAATGATAATATACAGTGAAATCCATATACTGAAAACTCGATACCTCTGACGTGTACGATAGAGAATCGTCCAATGCGTATATTAGAAAGAGTGCGCCGATGGGAACACGGCAAGCCGCCTCGTCACTCGTGTTACTAAGCAACGTGATGCTTCTATCTCTTTCTAACGATATTCACTCATACGCATTACGTCAGTCAAAAACAAATACAAATCCATTAGATATCTACATAAGGCTAGTCTACAAATAGAAGCTTTGGACGGTATTCCAGGCATACAAATCATTGGAACCCTCAATAAAATTGCTAACAATCCCAAAGATGAAATTGAAAAATGAAGGCTTTCACGGCTAATTGTAATGTCATTTAGGTTTTTCGGGGTGTTGAGCCGTGTCGGGTTGGATTTGATACAGAGTTTTAGGCTACATCTGCGGTCCATCTTCAGTGGCGCTGTCGGCGAGAGCGAAGTGCTCGGCTTTCAAACACGCATCAAGGAGCATGAAAGAAACTGTCGACTGGGACAAACTGATAAATCAGCGGTGGCCGGACACGCACTCCAAGACGGCCACAATGTTCTGTTCGACCAAACTGCAGTCCTATCAACATCCACCCACTACTCAGCCCAATTGTACAGAGACGCAATAATTGAAATCTAGAAACAGAATGATAATTTCAGTAGAAAAGAAGAAGGCCTTGCTTTTAACAAAACGTTACCAATTCTAAAAAACAGCGCAAAAACACGTCACTCAAGGGACCCAGAGTACCCCCACCACACAGCTCAATCCTCAGTCTGCCGATCGCCTATAAAACCCCACGCCCATCCAGTTGACCGATCAGTTTCAGTCGACCCGCCAAGCCGAGCACTTCGCTCTTGCCGACAGCGCCACTGAAGATGGCTACCGTAGACGTAGCCGAAAGCTCTGGATCAAATCCAACCCGACCACGGCTCAACAGCCCGAAAAACCTAAATGACAATCCTAAAGATGCCTTCTCACCTTTCATTTTCGAGATGTTGTAGGTTATCTTTAGACTGGTGTATATGCTATTAGGAAAAACAGTTTATTTGTCATTATCTATATGCTGTGTAAAATCCCAACTTTGCGGACAGCCTGTATAAAACGCACACATTTCCCGTTCGCGTTACCTCGGTGCCTGGATAGAACATAATATCTGCAATGATTGTTCAATCGATTTTGTTTGCAAAATCCATGTATTTATTATATTCACATAATATTTAGCAAGAGCAACTTTGTTTTATATGTACATTTGTAGAAACGGATGAAATAAACTCAGGATATTTCCCGACTATATGAGTATTCAGTGTCCATTTCCTTTTGAATATCACATTACACCCAATCTGTATATTTCCACATATGACAAAATTACTCTTGATTGCCGTTTTATAAGCACAATATGCTCATTCATGTATTTTACTAGAAATGGATGCAATACATTCAGGGTGTTCCTTGATTTTATGATTATTCGATTGCATTTTACCTCTGAATGTTGCCTAACAGTGACCACATATTACTGGCTTAGTTATAAGGTTCTAATATAAGCTTTTCGAGAAAAACGAGTTTTATAGTAAGTTTATGAATAATCAATAATCGAAATACCTGCTGTATTTTTTGTTCTCGCTCATTTTAAGCCTGCATAGCAAGGTGTTTTCATATAAATTGGTCTATGCTTCTAATAATCATTTTCATTGAAATCATAACTATCATAGATCATAGATCTTGTCATCGCTTCGGTGTCCAACTGGATTTTGTGGCGCAATATTTAAGGCATGACTGAAGGAAGCTAAGGATGATAACGGAATGTTATCTTCCCAATCGACCCAAAATCTTACTTGGAGCAGTTTTGTAACATCATTCTTTTACTATTTCGCGATTGAATTCACAAGTGTAACGTCACATGGCTCTTGTACGGTTTTAAGGTTTCGACCACGCTTTACTATTGAAATGAATGCTTTTGACTGGTCGTAAAAATCATACGTCGGTTCGAGTTTGATTTCCGCATCAAAAGAGTCATTGTTTTTTTATTTTTTGTAAAATAATTCGTTTCATATCGCTTATGCCCTCAATTGCTTGTTAAGTCCTTGAAGGTTTTAATCGACCAGTCTTCGCCCAGAACTCTAATGTTGGCCAACTCGAACGACTAATGATGGATTTGATATGTGAATGTGCTGCCTGCTGGTGACCGCATACCATAATGCGATTTGACGTGACAACTCTTGCGGACATAATGTGTTTCGATGCAAACCCCATATTTTGTACTCAAATTAGACAGAAGTAATGCTATTTGATTTATTCGGGTTTAAGTACTTATAGAAGAGATGAAAATAGTTCCAAAACCGAAACAAACCAACTTTTGTCCTCCAATGAACATGATACGTTTTGATAAGTTGCTCCTCAACGCGTTAATTTACCAAAAACATAGTACTTTGATTAAACTAAAATTTATTGCACTTTTAAATATCACGAAAAATGTAATATCAAAAATAATACCAATTCATGACATATAATAATATAGGTATGAATTTTATATATATATATATATATATATATATATATATATATATATATATATATATATATAGATATATATATATATATATTTCGGCTACCCTTTTGCAAAGAAACTGTCTGATAGCAAACGAAATTATAGAATTCCTGTTTTGAGGGACACATCTGTCCATCCATACGGTTAAATGCTTTATGTTCGAATGATCCCTCATTAAATTCGACAAAATTTTACAAAGAGCACTTGTTATATCTGTACATTTTCTTCCATGATAACCAAAAGGATCTTCATCATCAGACTCTATATTCGTCACTTTTACCCAAGTTAAATATATTATTTAAAATAAAGACATCCCGCACTGCCACGTTCTTAGAACATAAACAAAAGGAGCAAAGTTTTATGTAGAGTAAGACCTTCACAAAAATAAGCATTGAATAATGCAACAAAGGTCTATGTTGCACATACAACTTTGGCGCAATATTAAAGGAGAAAATATTAAGATCATAAGATCATTAAGTTCTATGGAGAACATGGGACTTTGTAACTTATAAGTTATAATATTGCTGGATAGTTTTATGAAATAACGTCCTATATTTTCATAGTAAAGAAACATAGAACCCTGGCACCCGAACAATACGAAGCCTGGTTGTCATAGCACTTTGAGAGCGTTTATTTACAAAAGTACCAAATTGTCACGTAGAACCTTATAACTCTAAGACAGCAATATGCTGAATTTATAATTACTTCCTGTCTCAGGATGATTTAGCATATGACGCTTCATCATATATTTTACTGAAAACAGAGTCAGGATGTTTTTGATTATATGATTATTCAGTGCAGTTTGATTTCTGAATTTTGCCTTACAGTGAATACACATGCTGAATTTATATTATTTCCTGTTTCTGATTTTCTAACAAATTATAACTAACAAATTGATTCTTGACGGTTGTTTTATGAGCTAGAAACGGATGCATATGTTTCGTTATTATCACTCCATTTTGGAATTTTACATTAGTATATGCTGAATTTATAGTTACTCTACCGAGCTGAGTGTATCAACATATGCCTACCAAACTTATTTCTAAAGGGTGTTTTATAAGCACAATGTGCACATTCATATATTTCACCGGAAACAGATGCAATAAAGTCAGGATGTTTTTTTATTATATGATTATTCATTTCTGTTTTACCTCTGAATTTTGCCTTACAGTGAATACATATGCTGAATTTATAGTTATTTCCTGCCTCTGGATGTTTCATCATATGACTAACAAAATGACTCTTGAGGGTTGTTTTATAAGTACAATGTGTACATTCATGCATTTTACTAGAAATGGATGCAATAAAGTCAGGATGTTTTTTGATTATATGATTATCCAGTTCCATTTTACTTCTGAATTTTTCCTGACAGTGAGTACACATGCTGAATTCATTATTTCCTGCCTCTGGATGTTTTAGCATATGACTAACAAAACAAGTCTTGATGGTTGTTTTATATTCACAATGCGTACATTCATGTATTTTAGCAGAAATGGATGCAATAAAGTCTGGATGTTTTTTGATTATATGATTATTCATTTCTGTTTTACCTCTGAATTTTGCCTTACAGTGAATACATATGCTGAATTTATAGTTATTTCCTGCCTCTGGATGTTTCATCATATGACTAACAAAATGACTCTTGAGGGTTGTTTTATAAGTACAATGTGTACATTCATGCATTTTACTAGAAATTGATGCAATAAACTCAGGATGTTTTTTGATTATATGATTATTCAGTTCCATTTTACTTCTGAATTTTGCCTGACAGTGAATACACATGCTGAATTCATTATTTCCTGCCTCTGGATGTTTTAGCATATGACTAACAAAATAAGTCTTGATGGTTGTTTTATATTCACAATGTGTACATTCATGTATTTTACTAGAAACGGATGCAATAAAGTCAGGATGTTTTTTGATTACATGATTACTCAGATCCATTTTAGATCTGAATTTTTCCTTACAATGAATACATATGCTGAATTTATAGTTATTTTCTATCTCTGAATGTTTTAGCATATGACTAGCAAAATTACCTTCAAGTATTTTACTAGAAACGGATGCAATAAGGTCAGGATGTTTCTTGATTATATGATTATCCAGTTCCCTTTTACTTCTGAATTTTGCCTGACAGTGAATACACATGCTGGATTCATTATTTCCTGCCTCAGGATGTTTTAGCATATGACTAACAAAACTAGTCTTGATGGTTGTTTTATATTCACAATGTGTACATTCATGTATTTTACTAGAAACGGATGCAATAAAGTCAGGATGTTTTTTGATTATATGATTATCCAGATCCATAGTATTTCTGAATTTTGCCTGACAGTGAATACACATGCTGAATTCAATAGTTCCTGTCTCTGGATGTTTTAGCATATGACTAACTAAATGACTCTTGAGGGTTGTTTTATAAGCACAATGTGTACATTCATGTATTTTACTAGAAACGGATGCAATAAGGTCAGGATGTTTCTTGATTATATGATTATCCAGTTCCCTTTTACTTCTGAATTTTGCCTGACAGTGAATACACATGCTGGATGCATTATTTCCTGCCTCAGGATGTTTTAGCATATGACTAACAAAACTAGTCTTGATGGTTGTTTTATATTCACAATGTGTACATTCATGTATTTTACTAGAAACGGATGCAATAAAGTCAGGATGTTTTTTGATTATATGATTATCCAGTTCCCTTTTACTTCTGAATTTTGCCTGACAGTGGAAACACATGCTGGATTCATTATTTCCTGCCTCTGGATGTTTTAGCATATGACTAACAAAATGACTCTTGAGGGTTGTTTTATAAGCACAATGTGTACATTCATATATTTTACTAGAAATGGATGCAATTAAGTCAGGATGTTTTTTGATTATATGATTATTCAGTTCCGTTTTAGATCTGAATTTTGCCTTACATTGAATACATATGCTGAATTTATTATTTTCTGCCTCTGGATGTTTTAGCATATGACTAACAAAATGACTCTTGAGGGTTGTTTTATAAGTACACTGTGTACATTCATGTATTTTACTAGAAATGGATGCAATGAAGTCAGGATGTTTTTTGATTATATGATTATCCAGTTCCATTTTACCTCTGAATTTTGCCGAACAGTGAATACATATACTAAATTTATAGTTATTTTCTGTCTCTGAATGTTTTAGCATATGACTAGCAAAATTAGTCGTGAAGGTTGTTTTATAAGCACAACGTGTACATTCATGTATTTTACTAGAAACGGATGCAATAAAGTCAGGATGTTTCTTGATTAAATGATCATTCAGTGCCGTTTTACTTTTGAATTTTGCCTTACAGTGAATACATAAGCTGAATTTATAGTTATTTTCTATCTCTGAATGTTTTAGCATATGACTAGCAAAATTACCTTCAAGTATTTTACTAGAAACAGATGCAACAAAATCTGGATGTTTTCTAATCACGTGTACATCTAGCTTTGTTTTAGTTATGAATTTCGCATGACAATGTTTGCAAGTGTAACGATCATAGCTAGAACCGTGCATATTTTTACTATTCTGATTTCTATGTCCTTTCATATTTCTAATCAGAAGATACTTAGATCTAGCAGAATAATCACCATTGTGACCAAAAAATGATCCAAGGTTTGATTTTTTGTCAACTACAGGCTGTTGTTTCATTGCGACCTGATTCGAAGCCCTGAAAAAGTACAACTATAGTTAATTCGGAAAAGAGTTCAGATATTTCAAAGTTGAGGATTGAAATTGGAAACCAGGATTTTTATATTTTCAATAATTATTTTATTTATGAAGATTTTGATTTCAACGTGTGTGTTTCTCAAGTATGTGGCCAATAAAACCTGTCCTATTTCTTAAATGTTAAAGACTGCCCCCATCCTGTAGTTTCTTTGAATGCCTCGGCTAAAACATTTTTTTTTTGCTGAACCTCAATATTTGCAGAGGAAAATGTAAGAGTAATAAAATTTTAACTGTAAGCAGCAATATATATATTCCAGAGCTACTAATTTTTACATTTAAAAACATTGACAATTTTTTCGGTAATAATTCACTTGTTTGTTTTTTCTGTCTCGATGACACTGTCATGTATATTACATCTAACATACACAGTAATCATGTACTGTTATTCCGAAATAAATGTTTATTATTGTTATTATGTTTGCTGAACCTCGAAATTTTTCTGGCACCACTAATAACATGGGAGTTTATAATTTGTACATAATTGCTAAACAGTAGGGCCGTATGGTCAGTCGTTCCTACAATTATGGGACGCCATTATTACCTCCTTGATTGTCATAGTCGTTTCTCTCCTTCAGAAATGTTGGGATATTTCTAGATTTCTACTGTTCCGTATCAGCGACAGCGCTGTCCTACTGTGTTTTCTTTTCGAATCGTAGGAAATTTCAGATGATATAAATCAAAAGCATGAACAATTTGATGCAAATTGGTATTTGTAACATAACCTCAAAATAGAGCGTTGACACGGAAGCGTATAAAACTATGAAAATCAAGGAGGCCATAAAGGCGTCCTACAATTGTAAGAACGACTGACGAAACGGCGTTTAAAGATGCAAAATATCTGTATGTCATGAATTGTTCAGTTTTTTAGAAGAATATAATTGTAGCAATCATGCTGAATAAATCTTAAACAAACAAGCAAAATAACGAAAGTTCCCAAGATAAATCAATTCCAACAAATGCAGCAACATGACACCAATAAATCTGTTACTAGATATTGAAAAATTATTGGAGACCGTAGTACACGACCAATTAATGCAGTTTATAGAAAAAACAAAATTTTAGTAGAAACACAAGCTGGCTTTCTATTGAAAAATATTCCACAGAAATACACTTTGAAACTATTGACTGATGTAGCATGAACGAAACTGTTCCACGTGTTCAATACGTGATTGGGGATTGTGATGTAAAATCAAATATTTTATAGTAGAACTACTACACTTCACAAACTGGTACATAATATACTAGTTTTTCATGTTTACAAATTCTTCCATATGTTAAATTTTACTAATTACAAACCTAAACACATATCTCATATAAACTATTCACAAATCAAATAAAATATTGTTTAATATAATTTTTTTTGGTGAAAATGTAGTGTCAACGAGTTTAATACTTGAGTTTATGCAGTGGGTGGTATGTAAGTGCAAGGCAGGTAAATACGATTTTTTCGCCCGAGCTAAAATGAGCACAAATATTCTATCAATAATTGCCTATTTGATGGAAGAACTGTTTTTGCTTTTTTCATCAAAGTGATGTGTGTCTGTATTTTGAGAATTTCTGGAAATTTTATAGGATAAAATTACTTCCTCACTAGTTGCGGGAGGTAAAAAAAAACTGAAAAATAAAAGTTACCTAACAGGAACAGATCCTGCATTTGTACCTAAGAATGCGTCATCATTATCACACTCATCTTTGATGATACATTCCTCTGTAATTTCCATAACTGGATATTTCTCGCTGTCATCAGGACAATTTTCAACTTTCAATTCTTCTTCTGCCTCACTTTTTATCCTGAAACATTTCTAACTGATTAAAGAGCCTGTAACATAGAGCCTTATAGCATTGACTGGTATATTCCCCAAGAAGCTATCCGACCCTATGCTGTATCTGAATGTACACATACAATTTCCATAATAATAGCCATGGTTTCAAGTAGAATCACAGCGAGTCTCTTAGAAGATTAAAATATATTGCCTCTCAACTTTTTTAAACTGACCTGAAGGGCGCTGCAGAAGTGCCAAGGAGTAGAAACTAGAAAGTACACAAAATGACAGGTTTCAACAGATGCAAAATTAACAGGAGCGATTGGCCACTGTGACAGCATTTTTGCACCAAACCACTTTATTCTGTGGAATTTTTCAACAATTCCTCGTAAGCAGAACCTATTTTTACTACCTACTGTTTATCAAATAAAATAAAAAATAGATTTTGAGGATCAGTTTCTCATTGCATCCTTTTTTTTGCAATGCGTCTTCTATTGAATTGCACAAGATGAGACTAGAAGGCAGGTCAAATTACGCGGCGTTACCAGCTCATCGGACGATTTTGCGACCTCTGCTATTTTGATAGAATGTTATATAAAAAAGAAGTTTTGATTAAAATATTGAGAAATAACAATGGAGATATATAAAATTTGAGGCGTAGCTATGTTTTCCAAAAAACCAAACAAAAGCTGTTATTTACATTTCGCGTCGCCTGGCGCCTATGCGGCGAAACGTTAATGTCTCTGAACATTTTTTAAATGCCCAGTTTTACAAGATAAAATACTTTTTTGAATACGTGACTTCTTCCAGCAATTGGAAGAAAAGCAATGTTTTATTATATAAATATATATATTTATTAACTATTGGATCTAAAATTACATGATCACTAATAGGAGAAGTACGATTTTCATTTTACTCTACTATGTATCCTAGTATCCGTCTTATACGCAGAGACATTAGGCAATTTAGGAATGCTAAAAATGGACAGCTTGATAACTTGAGTCCAACTTATCGATCATGTGGAATTACTTACAAGAACGTTAGATTAGTGCACGTTTCTGTGAATTTCTTTTTATAATAATGTATTACAGGGTGGCCAAGATAAGGATCAGACTAGATTAAATTCAGTAATCTCACAATCATACATCAAGCATTTGTTTGCAACGCCTACTTGAATAAAATGAAAAAAAAAACACGTTTGTTTATAACTTAAAAAAAGTAAATGAAAAAGATGCTATTAGATACAGGGTCGTACTTGTTTGAATGTTATGCACTTCGGGCACATTCAAAAATACCATCATGTAGTGCCATTAGTTTTTTGACATTTCTTAAAATAAAGTCAGAACAAAATAAAAATGATTTGGCCAAATTTTAGTTTTTCCCAAATACCTCAGAATAGACTAATCTCTCAGTGTATGCAATCTAAGTAGACCTAATTTCCACTTTGGAGATACTTGACACCCACGTCACAACACTGAAACACCACTGAGATACAATCGAGAACCCAATTGTGAACACTACTACTAAAAAAATAGCTTAACCGAATAGAGCTCTGCAAGGAGCTGTGAACGCGTGCCGTCTGCATTTTCTTATCTGACAGTATCACGAATGTTTACGATGTTTACGTTGACCGGGAGCAGACGCGCGGAGTAGGAGCTGGAAAGGGATGTGGCTCTACTACCCGGCCGTACCGTATCGCCGCAGCGAGGTACAGCACTCGCAGGCTTCAGTCTCACGGCAACCGTCAGCGCAGCGGAATGTCTACGCGTTCACAGCTTCTTGCAGAGCTCTATTCTGTTTAGCTACTTTTTTTTAGTAGTGTTGTTCGCTATAGGGTTCTCGATTGTGTCTCAGTGGTGCTTTAGTGCTGTGACGTGGGTGTCAAGTGTCTCGAACGTGGAAATTAGGTCTACTTCCAACTCTTCTAAGGATATCTGTGCAGCAAACTGGGTGAGCCTTGAATACTCACCTACTTGTGTGTTAGGGTTGACATCCTACGTTTTTTGAATAAATGAGAATTTTCATACGGTTGTATAGTAGACGACAACGATATTGTATTCGTTTATATTTTTTCCCGGTAGTCATAAAAGGGCTATAAAGCCGAGAACCGGAGGCATGAGGACAGAGACGGATCTGAAAATTTTCGAACATTTTCCCTTACAAGTCTGGATGAGATGAGAGATGACTGAATCAAGTTGTTTAAGTAACGTTGATTGCTATTGTAATTAATTATCTACGCATTGTTAAAAATTCATACTATTAACCAAAATATACATATGTATGCGATGGCACCGATGTCAAAGATGTAAAGATACTTACCTAATTTGCTAAGTTGAGGTGCCTTCTTCCAGAAACACGCACTTCAAGATCATTCAGACAGTATCGAAACAGTGTGCTTGTTTAGATTTGCTACATTCAAACCATTTATATCGAACTATTAGAGCGTTTTAGGTTATTGCACATTGCCCAAATTTATAATTTATACAGATGAAACAGATTCCATTATTAGTTATAATATAATGACCATCCTATATGGCGGGTCGGTAACACAAGGAAGCAGAAAAATGTGATTCAATACAATATCGTTGTCATTTGGTTGGTTTTTGGGGTAGTTAGGCAGTAGTAAAATATTTTTATTTGACGTTACTACTGTAGTAGCTCATAGGACTCCGAACTGTGAACACCTTCTGAAGATGCCAACCACTCGTGCTGGCGAAACGTAAAATAAATCTATTTTACGACGGCCTGACTACCCAAAAACCAATCAAATAACATTGGATGATGGCCGCGAAAGTCTTTCGCAACATCGTTGTCATCTACCATACTTGTATACTCAAACTTTGAAAGCAGCTAGGAAAATGTTTGGGCACCACCCTGCGATGTGGGGCCACATCAAGGGATATGGACAACTCTTCATCATGTCCTGGCTCAGGTCTTATAGGATTAAGTTTAGATGCTCTAAACTTGTAGTTTTCAAATGCTCGTATTTCTTTGCCTTGCAGAATTCCGTAAACCGTTTCCATATTGACGTACGGGTTTTAACAGTATTGTGCGGTACATTTTTCTCAATCGCCAGACCAATGTTAGTCAAAGGATCACTTCCAAGGCGACTCATTTTCACTACAGAAGCTGGCAAGCACTGTTTAAAAACAATATTACAAAATTTATTGACAATAAAATCAGAAAAATTGCTTAGGGTCATTTTCTGGAGACCATAAGTAGTTGTATTGTAATTTTTGGTGACAGCAGCTGTCAAGTTTTGCCGCGGGTAAAATGGAAAAAAATGCTGACAGGTACTGTCATACAATTTTTCCATCTAGTAACCATTCGTAAATAAAAATTGCGTGTTTGTGATTGGTATAAATTAAGACAAGGGAAATAGTCGTCGTCATGAAAACCACAGGACAAGTTTCAGATGCTACATTAACACAAAGACTGGTGTCATGACTTGACTTGTGTTTGAATGTTTATGGTAGCTATGATGAAGAATGAAAAAAGGTTAATATTTTAGTTTGTGATACAATTTACATTCATAAATAAAATTTCTGACTGGATTACAAAATTACTTAAAAAATGACCCTCGTATAAACTACTTCAATGCTACTTTTTTTAGGTTAATAACTGTGGCATGGTGGCAATTTTCCATTGTGCAAATGAAGCCAGAATTATGGAACGACTTAATTTTTCTGCACCTGATACAATTAATCTTAGCAGTGACGGTTGACGATTATCTAGGGGTTTTACCTAGCGCAAAAAACTAATATTCCCCTAATAAAGAGTAGAGAAAATGAAAATCGTACTTCGTATTCAAAAAGTCCTATAAAACTGGGCATTTATAAAAGTGTTCAGAAACATTAACGTTCTGCCGGTTAGACGCGAGGCGACGCAAAATGTAAATAAAAGTTTTTTTGGCAAACATTGCTACACCTCAAATTTTATATATCTCCATTGCTCAATATTTTATCCAAAGCTTCTTTTTTATAACCTAGAAAAATAGCAGAGGTAGCATAATTGTCCGATGAACTGGCAACCCTGCAATCTAGGTGACAAGAATGATAAGATTGTATGTATGTCTGTCCTGGGGTAACAATAGGGTCATTTAGTAGGTCAGATGTGGCAGTTTTCCAATCTTCATTTGCATTTTTCAGGCTATATGCAATGATTTCGCTACGGATAGTCTAGTAGAGTATATTTCAATCGTTGTCTTGTGTGGCCATGTTATCTTTACTTGGGCCTAATTGGCATTCTGATTGGCTCAGAGAAGACAACAGAATGAGAAAGTTTAATCTTGATTTACTAAATATGCAATTGAGTTTCTGTTTACGTGCAATTGTGCAGCAGCATTTATCTATCATTCCAAAACAAATAATATGATAGAGGAGTTAGCTAGAAGCTAGTTCTTCTACATCACCATCAGTCTGAAGTTTGATGTTTATGTGATACATAATTTCTGGAACTGGAAGTCTGAAACATCATCAGTATTGTTTGAAAGCAAGCGCCAGTTAAATATAAGTATGATGAAAAATATCCAGAAAATGAATTTGAATTCCTTACCTATCCAAAACAGAATTTTTTGAGTTTTCATTATCATATTTAAAATTCAATTTCCACGAGGCGTTATCAAGTTCAAATAGCTTGGTGTCTGCCTCTACTGCCTGGAATTCAACTTCCCCAACTTCTATCTTCATGATGTCTCCAGCGTCCGTGATCATCTATACAAGAGGCGGGTTTATTAACAAGCCAGATTCAAGCGTTAAAATTCTGCTTTACAAGTTTTTACTCTAGTATAGGAATAATACAATACCTTATTAAAAAAGAGAAATACGATGAAATAATTACAAAATTTGCAATACTTCTAATTACTACATAAATATTGTCGGGGTTCATGCACGACCGTGTACGTATCAACGTGATCTAATTTAAGGATCAGCTGTTTCTACACCAGGTTGTCCACAACAGATTGTTACTAGAACTAGAACTAACGCATATCGCATAACACTAATTTGAAACTAAAAACCACAGCCGACGTCAACTACGAGCCGTGAACAAAGAAATCTGGCAACGTAGGTGGTAGTGTTACTCCCGCCGCTCAAAACGCTGAGAAAACATAACCTTTTCAATTTGTGATTTTGGAATCGCAGAGGCTGTAATTAAGAGATAAGCTTGTTTTCTAAACTTCAAAGTGTGTGTATGTGTTCAAAGTGATCGGTGACTATAATATATGAGAAATAGACTCCAGTTGTAGTGTTTCTGTGCTTTAAAAATAAACTAAGAAATGTGACTGTGGCTGTTCGCGCCTCAGGACGCTAAGGATTTCAACTATTGAAAACGTGCAAATTCTGGTTGTATTTTTCCAATTTCAAATAAAATGACATGGCTAAAACTGTTTTAGCCTTCAGCATTTGGAAACATAACAGAAATTATCAAATTACTAACAGTTTCAAATCTAACAGGTGATGAAATGACACCTTTGGTTGAACATGTGATAAATTTAGTTCAAAAATGTGGATTTGAAGTTATTTGTGTTGTTACTGATAATCACCGAATTAATAGAGCAATGTTCAGGAAATTACCAAAGGATTCATCAGAAAATTATTCTATTCCAAATCCACATAATCCTGATAAGAACATATATTTAACTTATGATGTTGTGCATATATTCGGAATCAGAAATAATTGGATTAATTTAAAAAACCTAGACAAAACTTTTGTATATCCTAATTTTGACAATACTGATATTATTCAGTATGCTAAAATTGAAAACATTCGTGCTGTATATCAATTGGAAGAAGAAGAAGCTGTAGTTAAGAAAGCATATAAATTAAATTATAAAACATTGCATCCAAATTCATTTGAAAGGCAAAATGTAAATTTTGTAGATAATTTATTCCATCACTCAACAATAGCTGCTATGAAGGAATTAAAGATTAATGATGCTGCACACTTTTTGGAAATAATCAGGAATTGGTGGGATATTGTCAGTAATACAAGTGTAATAAAAGGAGAATTGAAGCGAAACGAATTTTGTAAGCCTATTACCAATAAATATGATTATAGAGTACAATTTTTGAAAAAATTCCTGATATGGTTAGAAAAATGGCATAATCTAGAGAATAATAATGGACACCTGACACCAGAAACGTATACAGCTCTATATCAAAGCACGCTGACTCTACTTAATATAATTGAATATTCATTTAATCAATTTGACATTGAGTATGTATTGCCTGGAAAATTCACCACTGATAATTTGAAAAACGATTTGGCAATTATAGACTTTTATGTGGCTGCAATTACAATGTGTCATATGATGAAATTTTAAATGCTGAAAAGATAATACGGCTGAAGCATATTTTCAATGAAAAGAAATCGTCATTTTCTTTAGCAGAAATTAAAACAAGGTTCCAAAACTGCTTAGAAACTCAAGAAAATTTTGATTTCTTGGATACCAAACAAAATCCTGAAGTTTTGGATATATTCAATGAATTATTTGAGACAAATTACTTAGCCAATTGTGACATAGAGGATAGTACTAAGACTTATATATCTGGATATGCTTCACACGCTATCTCTAAAAACCTAAACTGCGAGATAAGCAAATCGCTAATAGTTAAAGAAAAAGGTTCATTAACAACAAATGTTTATTTTGATTATTTGCAAAGAGGAGGACTGTTAATTCCAACCAGTTATGTACCAATCATATTCTACCATATGTATGCCATTTTTGAATCTATTATTAATGTAGATAGATTGGAAATTTTCTTCTTGAAAAGCAATAATCAAAAATTTATTTTGTCAGTTAACCTTGCTCAGCATTCAGTCTTTATTTACAGTGAATTTTCTTTAACTTGCATCTGTGGCCGCAATTATGCAGATATTTTATCTAAGCTTTTGTCTATTTTTTTAAACATAATTTTGAATGATTATGTAAAATTGAAAAATAACAGTAAAACTGAAAGTAAAGGTATTAAAAACAAACAGGTAACTCCACATTTCCAAGCTGGCCCTGTTGGAACACAGTGTGCTGACAAAAAAAAACGTAAACTAAATACTTTTAATTAGGTTAACTGCATTAGCGACTCATATATATCACGATTATTTCGTATTTTTAAATTTTTTAGAGCTATTTCATATTCAGATGATTTGTATTGAATCGAACTGTCCTCTTTTCCAAAATTAAATTTAGTTCTTGAACGTTACACGGAGACGGAGCACACAGCCGCAGCCGGCCGACGTTCACAGGTAGCACTACCATGCCGTCCGAGCGCGGTGTTGCCTTTCTTTCATCACGGCTCGTAGTTGACGTCGGCTGTGCTAAAAACGCTCACAGAACACGAACAATTGAAGTCTGTCATAGATGTCACGTTTTGATTGTAGAGTTGGACAAATTGTACTAGAACTTATCGCGATTTAATATCGATCTTTTGCAAGAACATTCTCAACATCTCTGTCAAATATAAAAATGTCGAGTGCTTGAGGCAAAGTTACACCGAGTCGTGGAAGAAAGCTTCTTTCTCATTTTCCAAAAAACGACTAGTCTAAATGGCAGCCCAACACTTAAGTTTGCACACAGAAAAGAACCTCCTTTTCTGCCACTACAACGCATCAATTTTGAATTTGCCGTTACAATGTTGCCAATTGAAAAACGAAAACAATTTTCCGGAATGGACAAACACGAGATGATGTACGGGAATGTCGATTTGGTAACGTACTTTTACCCAGCGTCAAAAGAGTTCAAACCCGTACCGCGTGAACACATAAGCAACTTAATAAAAATAAGGGTGAAAACAAATCAAATCCTTTTTGAAGATATTAGAGAAATAAATCGGTCATATACATGTTTGTCAATCCTGTTGTGAGGCATCTAGCGTTGAATATAATGTGAATTTTCGCAATTTGCGGAGAGTTGCAGTGCTTTTTTATCCCACAAAAATAAACAAACAATAACTTTATATATAATCATTGCAGAATTGTACGGAACTATGAAAATAAAGCGTAACCAGTATTACCAAGATTTTATTTAACTTCAAATGATATACAGAGTGAGATCCATACACTGAAAAACAAATACCTCTAACGTCGTAGAGAGAAGCGTGCAATCCGTGTGTTAGGAAGAATGCGCCGATGTCAACGCGGCAAGCCGCAGCTGCGTCGGTGGATTCGTCACTCGGGTTGCTAGACAACGCGGTGCTTCTATCTCTTTCAAACGTTTCTCTCTCATACACATTACGACGTCAGTAGTATATTTATTTCACTTCATGCAAATAAAAAACAAAATAAATACAAATCCAATAGACATCTACACAAGCATTTGACGGTATTCCAGGCATACAAATTATTTGAACCCTCAATAAAATTGCTAACAATCCTAAAGATGCCTTCTCACTTTTCATTGTCGAGATAAAGAAAAGGAATAAATTTGGTTTAGGTTTGACTTTGTAGAGTCTAATATCTCTGTTATATTGAGATTTTGGTGTAAATGCTTATTTTTTTTCAAGATATACACCCCGTGTAAAATCTCAAATTTGTGGACACGCTGTATAGAACGCACTTATTTATTATATCCACATATGTTTAGCAAAAGCAAATAAACTAAACTAAAACATATGTTTTGCCGTAGCACGTCACGTTTTTTCACACACGTTCAATTTTTTGCAAGGTTTATCATTTTATTAATTTATTTTTTAATACAACTGAGCTGCAGAACTGATTTAAAATCGTTGCTTCTTTACTTTGAGGCTCCGCTTATGTATAGCATCTGTACCATCCAACAGGGGTACATTTGTAAATCACTTGGTGATGTAATACCGTACAAAAGGAGTGTAGATAGACACTCTGGAAAACTGCGTAACTTTATTTTTAGAACGCTTAAATTATTACAAAGTCTTGTAACGACACTTGATAACAGCATACTTATTTCTAACTACGTTTTCTGCCACCATTTTTCTACTACATGAAACGCTATGGATACGAGATAGAACATTTATCCTAAAAAATGTATATTCTGCCAATTTTGAATACTTTTTGATAAACAGACGAAGTAAACAAACAATGATCCATAAGAATGAGAAGAGACAAGTCTTATGCCAAAGTTTTAAGCGCGGGAAGAAAAGTGCGCTTTTGACGTTTCAAAAGGATTACTTTGTTCAATTTCCGAACACATGGAACAAGTACGTCAAAGAATTACGAACGCTGAAATTGTTACAGTGTTACCATATCTACCGATTTTGATCCTAGTCTACCGAACTATCGATTTTAAAGCAAAATCTACAGGAAGGTGGACTTTTCCGTCAATTGGATAATTTTTGTTCGCTATATAAGAGAAATATTTCAGATGCATAGCGATAAAAAGAATGACAAAAATATTATTATTCGTACTAGACCAGATATATTTTTATTCTCTTTGCCTGACATTGGTGTGCCACATAACGCTGATTTGGCTACATCGCCTAGACCTAGCGGCTCGTGACAAGTCCATGCCTGTATTGTACGATTTATATGATTTCGTGTACTTTGTAATTCCGAATTCGGCCAGTGTTAGTATTGTCTGGCTTGCAGTCATTTTTTTGTTTCGCGTGCGTGTGCCCAACATTATAAGGAAGACTGGGAAGAATCGCCAGATTTCCAAGGCTGGCTTAAAAAAGCAAAAAAGGGCGCGATTATGCGAAATGCATGGTCTGTGATAAAGATATTAATATCAAAAGTGGAAGAGATGCACTTATAAAACACGCAAATGGGCAATTTCATAAAAAAGTGCAAACCATAGCAGAACAGCCAAAACTGTTGTCATTTGCAGTTGCATCAAAGAAATTAGAAAATTATATTAAAGAAGGTAAAAGTAATTAATCTATCTGAGGAGATTTGAGATTATATAGATTATTTTATTATTCCCAGGAGAAATTCGTTTGAACGCATTTTAGTTTAATTTGCCATTCCTGCTGATGGACCATTTGGCAAAGCAAAATTAGTAGATAATATGACTGATAAAAACTTATACAAAAATGAATCGGAAGAATTATTATCCAATATAGCTTACAAACTTTTTATTTTATACACTTTTTGTTTTTTATTAAGAATATTTCATTTTTAGTTAGCTAAAGTGAGATATGAACTGTTTATTTTTGTTTTGTCTTTCTGTATTAGAGTGTGTTTTGTGTTAAATAAAATTGTTTTAAGTTTTAAGCCTTCATTTACTCTTCGGTATTCAATCTACCGAAAAATTCCATACAATTCTGCCGAAATATCGTCGACTCCACCTGGCAACACCGAGTACAAAGTACACCGTAACAATTTACGAACACATCCCAGTAGTCTGCAATCATTGTGGTGCGTACTTTCCTTGATTCTCTATGATGTCTTGATGAAAACGTTCCATTTGCACTTCACTCACAGCCCCTAAATTCTCAGGAAAGGTGGAATTTAAGAAACGTACCTTCAGGTTCATGAGCCAACCCAATTCTTTACAGGATTTTAGCATCCTTTTGAATATATTTTTATAATCAGGATCTTTAATGTTGACCAAAAATTCTCCACATCATTAAATGATTATTCAGTGTTCCTGAATTTTCAAATTTTGCATTACACCCAATCTGTATGTTTCCACATATGGCAAGAAAAATGACTCTTGATGGCCGTTTTATACGCGCAATGTGCGCATTCATGTATTTTACTGGAAATGGATGCAATAAAGTCAGGATGTTTCTTGATTAAATGATCATTCAGTCCTGTTTTACTTCTGAATTTTTTTTCACAGTGAACACACACGTTGAATTTATAATCATCTACTGCCTCTGAATGTTTCAAAATATGGCTAAGAAAATTACTCTTGACGGTTGTCTTAAATGCGCAACGTTTACATTCATGTATTTTACAAGACACCGATGCGATAAAGTCAGGATGTTTTCTGATAATATGATCATTCAGTCCTTTTCTGCTTCTGTATGATGCGTAGCAGTGAATACATCTGCTGAATTCACAATTGCCTGCTGTCTCCGAATGTTTTAATATATGTCTGCTATAATTACTCTTTCGAGTTGTTTTATACGCACAATATGAACACTTATAAATAATACGAGAAACGGTCCCAAGAAAATTAGGATGTTTTCTAATAATGTGGTCATCTAGGCTCCTTTGGATTGTGAATTTCGCACCACAATGCCTACACGTTCTACTTTTATACATACAACTGTGCACGTTTCTACCCTCCTTATTTGTATATCCTTTAATGTGATTGATCAGACGATGCTTAAATAAAGTAGAATAACCACATTTATAACAGAAATATGGCGCAGGATTTGATTTTTTAACCACTATAGACTGTTGCTTTATCCGGATTTCCTGATTCAAAGCACTGAAAAAAAAAATTATAATATTATTGTTTTTTATGATTCAACAAACTGGATTTTCTTTTGTAAGACCAGATGATCAAAGCACATACAGATGATTTGAACCATCTAGGTGCATATTTCTGTCATCAGGGTGTCCTTGATGAAGAGGAATTATATATTTTTTTATTGTTATTGTTTTTTGTTGTTGATATTTTGTAGTAGATAATAACTAATAAAAAAAATAAAATAAATAAAAAATATTCTCTTTCCAAAATTAAAACACGAACATTAGAAAAAAAATGTATCAGACAAATATTGTGAAAGAAAAGAATGGTTAGCATATACAGGGTGCTCCTTAATGATATGCGAATATTTAAGAGTGTGGATCTACATGAAAAATTAATGTTAGTTTGCTTTATACACTATGGTCCAAAATTGTTTCCTTACAAAAACTCGGGGTGTTGAAGTTTTCGGAAAAAATGGAAATTGATTAATATTTACAGAACCGCTTCAGAAATTTTACTGATATTTAGAACGCAGTGAAAGTTAATAAAGTTGCATATTTTTCAATGCAAAAATAATTTTTAGCTTTAACAATGGCGTGCGTATGGGTATTGACTTCTAATATTTTTTCTAAGAAAAAAATGGTAAGCCAAATAAAATTTATTTTTGAATTCCCCGTTCAATTTAAAACAAATGATCTTTTTTGAATTATTTTCATTCGAAGCGCCATTTTTGAGTAAAAAAATAAAAACCGTTGAAGACCAGTTAAATGAGGGTGATACACCTGACCCAGAAGATGACTTACCACTTAATGTTCTTTCAGATATCCTCAGAAATAAGAATTTATTGAAATTGACTGATAATGAAAACTGTTATGATTTTTTGAACCTAGATTGCAGTTTGTATTTTGAAGACCCAGATTCAGGCCAAGAATTGAAAATTACCAAGTAAATACCATCATTTACAGTATGTATTTTGAACTGTTATTTTGGTTATATGTTCTGAACGTTTTTTTCTTTGCAAAACAACGATTTTTCATAGTTTCACATCTATTTTCCTAAAAAATGTTATTTTCTACCAGTTTCTGCAATTTTATCAAAAAAAAAAAAAAACCTTAAACTTCAGTCTTTATGCGCTAAAATATAGTCTTACCTAACATTTATATACATATATGTTTTAAATGTCTAAGTTTCTTTAATATATTCAGTTTTAATTAAAAAATAAAAAGATTTTAGTTGTATTTTTTTAATGGCCACTTTCAGTCAGTCTCATTGGCGTTCATCCAAAGGAGATTTCACTGTATATTATAGTTATTTGTCTTCCAGGAGACACTTTGTTTGTTTTTTTTTCACAGACCAAGAGAAATGAGTGACATGTGACATTTTCAAAATTTTCTATGAATACAATACTTCCATACCAGTTGCAGGAAGTAAAAATAACTGTAAAAAATACTTATATAGTTACCTATGAGAAACTGTTCTTGTATTTGTATCTAAGAACATATCATCATCGTTACGCTCCTCTTTGATGATGAATTCCTCCATTTTTTCCAAAACTGGATATTTCTCACTGTTGCCACAACTTTCTACCTTCAGCTCATCTTCAGGCTCACTTTTTATCCTAGCCTTAGTGTAATTGTGCTCCTCAGATATCCACAAACAGATTGCTGCTCTACAACATTTTAAACTGATACTAGACAGTTATAGCATTGACTGATATATTCTCCAAGATGTTCAACCCTATGCTGTGACTAAAAGCTCAAAAACAATTTGCATCATCACAGCCATGTTTTCTCAAACCACCCTCCCCCACCATTCAGGCCTTATCTGTTTTTCCTAAATGAATAATAACACAGCGGAATTACCTAGAAGCTAGATCATCTACAAAACAATCATTGGTTTCATGTTTGATGTTTATTTGGTCTGTAACCGGAGTTCTGAAATAGACATAAGTATCTGTTGAAAGTAGGTACCAAGTATAGAATGTACAATACAAAATATCCACAAAACAAATTTTGATGACTTACCCATCCGAATCTGTATTTTTTGTGATTCCATTGTTACCACATTCAACACTGAATTTCCAAGAGGCGTTATCAAGTTTGGTATCTGCCTCTAGTGCCTGGAATCCAACCTCCTCCGTTTCTATCTTCATCAAGTCTCCAGAAGCTGGCACTTCCGCATCCATCATCATCAATGCATGTATAAACAAGGGGCTAGTTTGTTAACAACCCTGTGTTAACATTCTTTTTTTAACAGAAGTTTCTATTTTAGGTAGTCTTTTATTGTGGTTCTGCTCGTTTTCCGATCACTTATCCTTCTGTGGTTCTATGACGCTAAACCCATTCATTTCTTGTGTAGTTTGGACACAAATATTACCGAAACTTTACAATGAAAACATTTACTAACAATTTTTGAAAAACTGTGGTTAGAGTTGCGTCAAAATAAGAAAATCAGCAATCTATTATGACTGTCAGTAGTCAGTACTGTCAAGTTATCTGATTTTTAATGTTCAAGTAGCTTTCCAGTGCCTCATTTGAGTTACTTCGCTACCCACAACCTGTCAATACCGTTCCGGTGCTCTATACCCTATTTCACGAGTATCCATCACGGTAGAATGCCCGCAGATTATCTAGTAATATTTCAAATTCCCCATATCTGCACAGGTTACATAATTCATAATAATTATCGCATGCCTCAACCTGAGGTATCAGCCTTCGGCCTCTATGACGCATGAGCGCGCAACGCAACCCCTCCGTCCACACGCAGCGCAAGGCACGCACTGACACTGAGGCGGCGCGGCGTTCCTAACGATTGTATTGACGCGAATGCTTACTGTGAACATATACGTGTCCACAAAGCGTGAGGCATGCGAGACGAACCATTCGCAACGCACTTCTCGCGAAGTCTGTATGCGGCTTAATAGCCGGTTCATTACTGCCAACGTTGTAGAGTAACACAAAAGTGTCACTAGCTGATCAGCTGTTTACCTCAGTAGACGTCAAAGCGTGATGGATACTCATGAAATAGAGTATCGAGTGTCGTGCACCTGAGCTACCCATTTTTGAAATCTCCTGCCCCCTCATACACCAGCTTTTTATTCCGTTCTATAAGCTCCGAAATAGCGAGGATAGCGAAAATGACACAGTGTCAAGATTGTTAGGTTATGTTTTTTCGTCGTTTTTTTTGCATCAAATTCATATTAAACCTATACCAGACAATGGAGGATGATAAAAAACATAATATTACGATCCGGAGTCACAACGTACATTTGGGATGTTCCTGAATAATAAAGATCACAAGAGAGTGCAAGAATGCAGGTCCATAGCGGCTTGTAGTTAGCTTCATCTATAACTAGCCACTTTTCAAATAATTTTGAATGCTTACACTAAAATATGAATTCGACACATTTATCCAGAAGTTTTGCAATAAAAATGAAGACCTATGACGTGTTGCACCATCATTCTACAAGCTTTTTCAGGCATCAATTGGATAGTCTGACAATGCTTCTGAGAATAAAGGCAAAATGTTATACAAATTGTCAACGTCAAAGCAAAAAATCAACAAAAAGGTTAGGTTTTTATCGTCGCGTTCCCGTGCTAGAGTAGTTCGGTAGCGTCACGCTCCGGCACGGGTACCACGTTTCTTGAAAAGTGGCATTATGCCGATTATTTTGACATTATGCTGTTTTTTTTGACATTATGTAGTTTTTTTCGCCAATACGTTGACTTAGCACTTAGGCCCGTGTCGTCAGTCGTCCCTACAATTGTAGGGTGCGTTTATGACCTCCTTGATTGTCATACTCTTTTCTCTCCTTCAAAAATTTCTAGATTACACTCGTCCCGTGTCAGCGTCAACGCTTTCCTATTGTTAAGATATGTTTTCCTTTTAAATTGTAGGAAATTTCAGGCTGATAAAACATGATATAACTCAAAAGCAAGCACAATTTGATGCAAATAGATGTTTGTGACATAACCTCAAAATAGAGCTCTGACACGGAGAAGTAGAAAACTATGACAATCAAGGAGGCCGTAAACGCGCCCTACAATTGTAGGGACGACTGACGATACGGGCCTTAGTTGTACGTGTTGCCTAAACATCATGCGACTAGTTATCAATCTTTTACTCTGATGTGATGTAAAATCTGCTTCTGAGATGGCATTACTGGAGGTCTAAGCTGTAAGTTGTATGAGTAGATGATAATTACATTTTGTTCGTGTCTCGAATACACTTAATTGAAATTCAAAGCTAGAAATTAGTTGCGCATCCACTTTTTCTTATCCCTTCTGGAAATTACATATACAAATTTGCGGAATTTCAAAAATGAGAGACATAAGAAATAATTATATCCACTGTACACTGTCGAATTACAAGCCATATACATGCTAACAGTAATTACGCACAACGCGGGCGCGATGACGATTTCCCGTAATTCTCCTCAGTTTTTCGTAATTTATAACTTTGAGCATAACCTCTCTTCAGAAAGCACAACATATAAATAACCCGTCACATTCAGCATATTCAGTAATGATTTTCTCACACAACAGATATCACTGATCAATACACATAATCATCCAGATGCGATCTTGCTATTCCACCATTTTTCTTCTCAGAGATAAAAACTACAGACACGGATCACACAACCTCACAAAACTATGCAACCAATAATGCGTGTACTTTAGTTGAGTGATTCCTTCATAGATGGATGTTCACAACGATACTAGTGAGCAAACGTGGAATGACTGTTTGCGCCCTAAGAACTACTTAGCCGGCATGTTGACGTCTTATAGGATTTTTTGACATTTTGTAGGTTTTTTACATGATACCCGTGCGGGTGCATACAACTCTCAATTCAAAAGCACTGGAAAGCGGCTCAGGTAAGCAGTATCATTCTGACAAAACAGGTAAGGCCGTCTACCATATTCATCCCAATGAATAAGCTAAGTAATTGACTGCTTTGACTTTGAGAAACTACACTAAAGACTATTAGCTTCACCATACGACATTTTTAATCGAATATTAAACATGCGGCTGGTTAGGTGTTTTTGAGTATTATAGGTATTAAAGCGGCAGATTACGACACTTTCTGGTCAATTAATCTTGACTCATGACTTACAGTCCAACTCCTTAACGTCCTTGACGTAATTGCCATTCGGCTGTCAGCGTACGTGTCTTTTATGCATTTGACATTGACGTAATCCGGGTGGCTGTGTTGTTTTTTCGTTGGTTGACGTTTTCCAAGAATATTAAAGCAAAATTTGAACTGAAATAATACGATTTTCGCTGTGATTCTGCTTCTTTTAGACGTCTCATAACCATGAGGACTTTAAGCATATCCATGCTGAGCGTAATACTCACATCAATAGTGATCGCAAATGCATTTTACCAAAAAAAGCAGTTTTATCCATCTGTTGTGTATATCACAAAATCCAACCCTAGCATGGCTGTAAGTAAAATATCGTGAATTTCCACGACGCATTCATTTACAAGGATTATTTTTGTAGGTAATATACATCCAAGCTTTCATATGCGTCTGGATATTCGGAAAAATAATGAGACGAATATTTTTCGGCCAGCTACGTACCACCGAGTTTGAGGTAAATTTTTTATAAGCTTTACTATCATTATCGGCCTATAAAATGTATGAGTAATGATCGTTTTTTTTTTTGTAGCATTTGATGGAAAGGTCATGGTATGCCATAACAGAGACATGCCTAGCATTCACAGTGTTTAGAGATGATTTTAATCCAAAGTTTGTGGCACTTTTTACTCTGCTACTATTCTTGAAGTCCTTTCATTGGTTGGCAGAAGACAGGGTCGACTATGTAAGTAAAATATATTAAAAATTATTCCGTTGCGATTTTTATAGCAACGTAATGCTTGACTATCAGAAAAATGTAGTAGTAGTGGTAGTAGTAGTAGAAGAAATATTTATTTAGCATATTTGGCTATGTGATTCCTCAAATTTGCCTTGAAATTTTTTAAAGTAGTTTGGTCACATCTTAGGACCACTAAAAAGGCATTTTTAGTCAGTTTCAAGCAACAACCACACAAAGTCTTTGAGCAGGGTATCAATTGGTGAAACGGTGGGATATGTGCCTTAATTATTTGTAGATATATTTGCCAATAAATTTCTTGACTTGATGAATCCTTAATTGAAGACTTTTACTAAATCTTTTTTCTGTTCAAGATGGAAAGAAGTCCTGTGATAAGTTGGCTATTCCACACCAGGGTCCTCAGCTTACTCCTTCTGTTAGGTGCCTTAGATCTTCACTTTGTCCAACACGCCTACCTGTCCACCGTTGCCAAGGGCGCTTCAGTTCAGCTTGTATTCGGATTTGAATATGCTGTGCTACTGACAGTTGTGATCAATATTATCATCAAGTATGCTTTGCATTCCGTTGATCTGAACAGTGAGACCCCATGGGATAACAAGGCAGTATTCTTGTTGTATACGGAATTGGTTATGGGACTGATCAAGGTAAGATCGAGGATTTTTAACGGATATTTACCGGACCGATTTTCAAAAACTACAAAGCTTTTGTGCCCTTGGAATAGCAGTAACATTATGTAAAAATTTTATCGAAATCCGAGCAGTAGCTCTCAAGCTATAGGCGGTTATAAGATTAGAGGACAAACAGACAGACCGACGAAAATGAGTGACATGATACAAAAAACATAATACCTCATTATTGAAATTTTTCAATACTTCGTCAGTGACAAAAAAAAAAACGTGAAAAAATTCGAGAGCCTACTTTTAGGATTACCCTCGTATATATAGAAAAATCTGGAGCACTTGTTGGCGATAAACAATTTTATTTTGTGTGTTATCTGTAATCTGGTTTTATCACTGCATTAACAATGCTGATATTTGCATTTTATTGTGTATCTTTTCAAGAATTAATCTTATATACAGGGTGGCCTAACGAAAAGGTCGCACCCCCATTTGCGACTCTCCTGGTCAATTTTGATTTATAGGGGAGACATAAAATACAGGGTGATCCAAAAATCAGATATGGCATTACAGGTGTTGAAATGGAAACCCCCATTATTTCCATGAAGCTTGTAGTAACTTGTGTAATGAAGTTTATTACCTGTCTTCAATCATTGTGAAGCTATTTGAGCTTTTAATAAAATTCGACTATTCTGAATTTGACCATCTGAATTTGTGGAAGATGGGGTGAATTTTGCAGCCTTCTTCCCATTATGTCCCATACATGTTCGATGGAGGAGAGGTCTGGAAGGGGAAGCAAATGTGGTTGTAGATCTTTGTGGATATATCGCTGGGCAGTTATGCTACCGCGAATGAACACTAATCGTGACGTGTTTGTTGCATTTTATATGTCGCTTGGTATATTACCTCGTGTCGCTCATAGATAAGCAAACTGTGTTCTTCCAGGTGATCCTGTATGTAGCCTTCGTAGCCATAATGGTCCGAATCTACACTCTACCGCTGTTCGCCTTCCGACCAATGTACTACACGATCCGAAACTTCAAAAACGCCTTCAGCGACGTGATCCTCTCTCGTCGCGCCATCCACAACATGAACACCCTGTATCCTGACGCCACGCCCGAGGAACTGGCGGCCGCGGACAATGTGTGCATCATCTGCAGAGAGGAGATGCTGACCGCCTCGAAAAAGTTGCCTTGCAATCATATCTTCCACACGTCCTGTCTGAGAAGCTGGTTCCAGAGGCAGCAGACCTGTCCGACTTGCAGGCTGAACATACTCAGAAATCCCACCAATAAGTAAGTGGACATCTCCACAGATTTTTTTTAATCAGTTTCCTTATTTTATATCTTCAATTTTTCAGTAACAACACCAGACCTGCCCCAGCAGCTGCTGCACCTCCGGCAGCGGCTGATCGTGGCGGAGCCCCAGCTCCAAATCCGTTTGCGAATCCATTCTTTGGAGCTGGACCTGCACATCCATTCCATGTAAGTAAAAAATATGTTCACGATATGTACGTATATCGTCATTTTACACGCTTCATTTCCAGATGTTCCAGAACCTGCCAGCAGCCGCCGCGGCTGGCGTCCCGCCTCAGCAGGTCCCGGACGCCGCCCAACAACCTCCCCGCCCCGCGCAGTCTGGCCCCGCCTCCTCGTCTTCGGCCACGCCCACCGCAAGCTCCGCCCCCGGCTCGTCGACGTTCGCGTTTCCACCGCCGCCTCCGTTTTCGTTTATGCCGTTCATGCCGCCCCCACCGCCACCTATGCCTCCGCAGCATTTGGCGAGGTTGAATGCCGAGGAATTGAGGAGGATGGAAGGCAACGAAAGGGAGAACGTCGAGGCGAGGATACAGTGTCTCAGGAATATACAGGTCAGTGGTTATTTACTAGAACGCCCGATCGCTTGTTCGACAGGTCGCTGATTCAATTGTTCGCCAGTTCGACTCATCTGTTTATTTCTTTACTTCTTTTAGCGTTGAGGGTCGGTACTAGTTCTTGTTTAAATCACTGGATGTTCCGAATGTTGTTTTCTATTTTTCTTTTCTCTCTGAAGCTGCATAGTTATCGTACAAGATTCGTAAAGGTTTCATTCGTCATTCGAACGTGTCATTGTGAGTCTTCGTGTAGATGGAAGAACTTGTCATCCGAATTTTACTATGTACTATGCTTTTTTTAGCTATATCCATGTTATGGTTACATTATTTTTCAACCCTTCCACAAATTAATCAAAATTTTATATTTTCAATGCAATGCATACTTTTTGTGCAACATAATGTGCTACAATTTTTTCGTACCCTTTTATACATTGTTACTTCTCAACTGTACATATCGATATTATATATATAATCAAGACCCTGAAGTAGCAGCAATCAAGACACGTTTTTGAGGAATCTAACAATTGAAAATCAGTTAAAAAAAATCTCATCATTTGCAGATGCTCTTGGATGCGGCTGTGATGATGATGCAACAGTACAGTTCGACGGTGGTGATGTCCCAGCAGATGGCGCAACCGTCGACGTCCAATCTCGCCAATCCGAGCACGAGCAACAGCGGAATTTGGGATAATTCGCATTCGACTGCGGAGTCGCCTAAAATCGCCAAAGTGGCACCTACGACTAGTTCCTCCCCACTACCTACACAGGTGAGATCTGAAAATAAAATATATATCGGTTTAAATTTCTTAGTCAAATGATTTTTTGAAATACAACCATTGGTTAACATATCAACGTATCCCACCAGAAGATGGCGTTCACATACAATTTCGATAGTCACATATACGTTTCCAAGGAAGATCGCAGCGATTCCATTTGAAGTAATAAAAACAGACTCTATTTTATTATCAAACACCTCTCCTCTCTGACCTTCACTGTCATTTGAAGGTCAATTCCATTTTTTAGATGGGAGAGTATCTTTTACCTTACAATAACCTCGAATTTGACATTGTCCTGACCTACAGTGCCATTTCAAGGTCAATTACATTTTTTAAATGAGACCTTATGTCTTATTTGATTTTGATCGTGACCGTCACGGTCAATTTTTTTGAGGTTTGAACGATACATTTTTCGCTATATCCATTTCCAGCGCGAAAATTATAGGGTCTCATTTGAAAAAAAAAATGGAGTTGACCTGTTCCTAGGGTAGATTTTTTCTCATCGAATCTTTTAAATGAGGTTATATCATCAGTTACATATTTTACCTTGATCGTGACCTTCAAAGGTCAATCGTTTGGGGTTGAAATCAAAAATTTTCGCTGTATTCATTTCCGGTGTAGAATTTCTTTTGGACTTTTTCAAGGTTATTTTATCAGTTAAATATTTGACCTTGACCATAACCTATAAAGGTCAATTTTTTTAGGTCAAAGCAAAATTTTCCGCTCTATCCATCTCCAGACTCATTAAAAAAATGATCCTGACATCTGCATGGGCAGAATTTTATTCTTCTCGAATTTGACTTTGGTCTTGACTTTCTGGGTCATTTTAAGGTCAAGTCCATTTTTCAAATGAGAATATTATCTTTTATACTTATCGTTTTCGATGTTATTTCATCAGTTCCATATTTGACCTTAATCGTGACTTTCAAAGGTCTTTTTTGAGGTTTCAAAGCGAAATTTTCCGCTCTATCCATTTCCAGCGTGTACATTATAGAGTGCCATTTAAAAAAAATGGACTTGACCTGTGTGCCTGGGCAGAATTTTTTTCTTCTAGAATTTGACCTTCTGGGTCATTTCAAGGTCAAGTCAATTTTTTTAAATGAGAGTTTGAAACCCACCGTTTCGGAGTTTATTTCATCAATTACGCATTTGACCTTTATGGTTACCTTCACAGGTCAACTGTTTTGGAGGTATGAACGTAACATTTCTATCCATTTCCGATGTCAAAAATATAAGGTCTCGCGTAAAAAATGGACCTGTGTCTGGGTCGAATTAGACCTTGCCCCTAACCTTAGGGACATTTCAAGGTCAAGTCATTTTTGTTAATTATAGTATCTTCTAAACTCACTGTTTTTGAGGTTGTTCCATCAGTTACATATTTGACCTTGATCGTGACCTTCAAATGTCTTTTTTTGTGGTTTGATAATGGACTTGACCTGTGACTGGGTAGAATTTTTTTTAGAGTAATGATTCTCGAGATCGTTTTCCGTATTCCGATTTTCTGAACACCCTGTATATTATCTTGCAGTCCAATACTCTGGATGAGACGGAGTTGAGTAAACCGAGCTCTAGCAGCGAACCGAATCCATCGAAAGAAACGACAATGACGCAAGAACCCGCGAGTTCTAGTCCGTCTCCGGAAGAAGAGATACGAAGAAGAAGATTGCAAAAATTCCAACACCAACAGCTGCCTGAAATCGACCAACAGGATTAAATAGTATTCGTTATTTTTAAAAGTTTATTAAGATGATCGCGATGTTGTACTGGGTCTGTTTCAGAGTTCCGTCGTTGGTTTCGATTGCTAGCTCTGCGAAAGCGATCTGCACACGTTCGCGAAGCCTCGGTAGCATTTCGAAGACGCTCACCAGGAACTAAAATCATGTCCACAAGTTCGAAAATGCAGTACGAGTGTGCCGTTTTGGTAAATATGTTTTGTTTTCAAGACCTATACGTCGTGTAAAGGAAAGTCAGAACGGCGGACACCCTGTATATGCAGATTTTTTATTTGTTTATTCCGATCAAGAGGACCATTTCTAAAGTAGGCAACTCGTACGTACGCAAAGTTGTAATACATATACTCGTACTTTGCAGGAAATTTTCATTCGACTTCGTTCTTGTGTTTTTCTTCAGTAAATTGATATTGACAAGTACGCTTATTGGTCTTCCGATAATCAAGCAGCTCTGAAGGCATGTTCATATTTAGTCCATAAATGCATCACCGCCCTTCAGAGCTTAGCTCGATCTAAAAAACTGCTACTCGTCATAAAGCCTTTCGGAAGAATGAACGAGACATGAACAACGCGTATATTATTTCAGGGAGCCTTTTTTCGACAAAGAACCACGCAATTTTCTTATGGAAATCGGACTTCCCTTAAATTGGCCCAATTTATGATATGTTGCATATCTCACTGTCCTGACAAATGTCTCAATGGGCACAACCTCCTAAACGCTAAGGGCTGTGAGATAAAAATGGTTGAAGTTGAATTATCTTAGATTATAAAATACACTGCACATTCACCATTTATTTAGACCAAGTACACGGTCGACCTGATATGATGGGGAACTGGAAAAAGTTACAAAAACGAGGTTTAGACGTAACTTTACATCATCATTTTTTATGGCACAAAACGTCCAAAATAACCTATTACCTGACACTGCGATAATGATAAATGATAATAGCCACATCACTTATATCAATATAATATATTCCAACTACAGGTAGTAGGTTATTTTGGACGTTTTGTGTCATATAAATTGACGTAAAGTTACTTCTAAACCTCATTTTTCGAATCCCTTTGGTCGATGGTGTATTACCTCAAAAAAATGGTGAATGTGCCAAGCAAAGATAATTCCGCAAAAATGGAGAATGTGCTTGTGTACTTTAGAATCTAAGATAATTTAACTTCAAACGTTTTTGTCTCACAATCCTCAGGGTTTAGGAGATTGAGCCTATTGAGACATTTGTTCAGGACGTTGAGATATGCTACATGTCAGAAAGTCAACCGATTTAACAGAAGTACGATTTCCATAAGAAAATTGCGTGGTTCTTTCGCGATATCTGGGAAACATAGCTACGAGGGTTGTCTCATAAAAAAGATTCCTACATTTTTTTCAGGCACAAGGAATTTTTTCATAATTTGTCGGCATCCAAGTGATGAAAAACAACGTAGAAATTATCCAATTTTATTATTAAAAGCGAAAATAAAAACAGACAAGTTTCAAAATCGTTTTAAAACAAACTAATCTCAAAATACCATTTTGCGGTCTCTTAGAGGAAGGTTTTAACTTCAATTTAGACACTTGGCGACCTAAAACATTTAAAATTTTAACCGACTTTTTAAGCATTGAATATATCCATTTTTAGGAGTTTTCACACATTAAATCGCGTATAAGTCGAAAAGTCAATTTTAGAGAAATGTTAATGGATGCCTTTTCCATTCAGTATGGATGATGATCAATCTGACAACGTCGCGCTGCTCCTAAATCACAAAAAATGTTTTTTTTACCGTTTTCGAGTTATAAGCGATTTAGGACCGTATCATCAGTCGTTCCTCGTAGGACACCTTTGTGGCCTCCTTGATTTTCATAGTTTTTCCTGTCTTTTAGAAAGGCAGGGGTATTTCTAGATAGATGTTGTGTCAGCGCTCTATTTTGAGGTTATAAAACTGGATTTTTATCATCAGCCCGAAATTTGTTAAGATTTAAAAAGAAAACATAACCTCACAATTAGAGAGCGCTGACGCAGACTCGGAACAGTAGAAATCTAAAAATACCCCAGCCTTTTTGAAGGAGAGGAAAGACTATGAAAATCAAGCACTCCATACAGTCGTCCTACAATGATACATCCCTTAATGTCTGCAAAATGAGTATATTCAAAATGCTTAAAAACTTATAATTTTTGCCAAGTATCTAAATTAAAACTAAAAGCTTGCCTACAAGATATCGAAAAGTATTTTAAAGTTAGTTTATTTTGAAGCGATTTTTAAGCTAGCTTGTTAGGCCAAAATTAATTTTCGCAAACTTTTCAATCAAATTTTTATCTTTGTGATTGTGATATAATGTTAAGAAACGAACTCTGAAACACGCTCGGTAAAACATTCCTATATTTGTTTGCTGCCCGTGGAAAGACTGCTTGGTCCAATGCTGGCTGAAATGTATGTATATATGTATGTCGTTATTTATGCATTTGTTGTACTATACATATTTGGTATGTATTATAAAAACCATCTTTGTGTAAGAAATTTATTATTGGAAAATTCGATAAGCAAGGCAGTAGCAATACTTTTTGTCCCTGAGGAATCTATAGTTTTGAACTTGAACATTAACAGACTACTTGCATAAAAAGTAAACATTCCATTAGAATTTGCTTGATTTTCAATAATCACATAAAGATGTATAGTCACCCTTGATTAGTTTTAAACATACACCTTATATGCACATAACTACGACTGTAATTTTTTCATAAATGTGAATACCTGTGGCTGTTGAAACTATTTTTATCAGTTTACTTGTAGCTAGTGTATAACACTTAAAACTTAGTTAATTTTTACTCACAATTCCTATCCTTCGATTTATTCCTGCAATATAACCGTAGCTTTAAAATATATTTCGTAAGTTTATGTATAGATTATTTCCATATTATTGAGTGATAATACATTTTTCGGTTTGATTTTATTTTTTTTATTTAAAATTACCTACAAGGAAAAAATAAATTACTCACGTTTCTTTAGTCGAATGTCAATAATTCAGCTCGTGATTTTTTGGGTTCATTTTGAGAAGTAAACTTCATATGAATGTACCTATGTTCTAAACGTCTTAAATCTTTAGATACAAGGTGACAAACGCTTCAAAAATAAATAATTTGTTTTTTTTATACTCCAACTACCATGAAGGCCCAAACACCCATTGGGTACCGTGGGGCTATTAACATCTGTAATATCACTTTGGATATTTTAATAAAATTAAGCATCAAGGTTTGTCGCGAAGTAAACAGGACTTTTAAAAGATATCCGATATGAGTAGCGCCATCTATTATCGGCGTTAAATACGTACATCTGTCATTGATGTCCTGTCAAAATTTCATGACAGTCGAACCACTTCACGCAGAGTTAATTGCGCCCAAAGTGACAGTACCTTTTTAGCATCGAACAAATAGTCAATATTAAGTTCTGTGTTAAACTCGCATCAGATGTTGATGCAAGTGCATGGTGATGATTGTTTCGAGTCCACGACGAACATGTTGGCCAGCCAAAATTTGTGATCACGCAGAAATTTATCAAAAATGCACCCAAAATCTTCATTGACATACACAGAGACCCCTCTCTAAATATCACTAAAGATTCAATCCGCTGCTGTTGCGTCTTGTAGAACTTCCGATTTCACTGTTTTTTCTCTTAAAACTTTTAGAGGGTAGTCTGATAGATTATTTAGAAACAAAAAAAGTGTGGATGAAGCACGCTTTTCATGAAACATTTTTCTGAAAATATTGTATTTTTAGCTGTTCTTTCCATCATTATTTCCACCGCCATCTATCTGCCATATGACGTAGACGTCTGTGCATATGTCATATATGAGAGGCGCTTGCCTGCGGTGTTGCCGGATTGGGCTCCGCATTTAGGGAAAAATATGAAAAGTTGAAAATTTATATGCTCGTATTAATTAATGAATCACAAAAACGAAAAACTGAAACAAACAACAGTAGCAAAATAAAAGGTGGTTCCTAATAAGTATAAATCAAAAAATAACAGTAGTAAGCTAAAAAATGATAAATTATAAATGATTATAAAAAACAAAAAATAAAAACAGTAGTAATACAAAAACTAATTCCATGTAATTATAAAAATCAAAAAATAACCAACAGCAGTAAAATAAAAAGCAGTTCTAAGTGATTAAAAAAACAAAACAAAAAAAACAATTCCATGTTGAATAAAAAGCAATTGTGACAACACAAAACAAAAAGTAAAAACAGTAGTAAAACGAAGAACAATTTCATTCCATTAAAATTGCTTTTTATTTTACTGTTTGTTATTTTTTGTTTTTTTTTTTAATATTTGGAATATAATATTTTCATTATATATTTATTAAATATATTTCAAATATTTTGAATACAATATTTGTATGTGTGACCCAGTTGAGCTACTCGGATTAACTCAGCAGTGCTCAGAACCAATATTGTTCCACTGCATTTTATATTCCCATGAATACACTTCATAATTAGTGAGTTTGTTTTTTTCAGTGGAGTAGATTTGCAAGATGCAGATTTGTCTAAAATAACCTATGAAGAATTTTCTATATTCCGCTGAAAATAAGTATCAGATTAATGCTTCATATAATATTTCTTAAAAACATATTCACGAAAAATATCAGATATCTCATCAAAATATAAAATTGATATTTTAAAATCTTCGCTCATATATTTTCTAAATATTTGGATAAAATGTCGCACAAATATATGAATTATATATACTAAATATTCATGATGAATATTTTATGAATATATAAATCATATATTTATTAAACAAAAAATCTATCGCTACAAATATACATTTTTTTAAAATATTTAATAAATATTTAATGCTTTGGGAAACTTTGTACAAAATTTCATCAAAATCCAAACAGTACTTTCAGTTATACGAGAGCGGTGCGATAAGTACTTAGCCTACAGAAGAAAAACGAAAATTTTGGAAAATGGCTATTTATTTCTTACCATGTCTCTTTCTTCGGTGTAAAAAGGTACAGTAACGGTCCCCAACACAGAGCCTTGAGGTACACAATCATGCCGAGCATAGACTCCGGGACCACCAATGTGCCCCCCTTGAATTTTGCTGTATGTACGCCAATGGCAACCTAGCCAGCTCTCCAGCAGTGTTGCCAGGTGGAGTCGACGATATTTCGGTAGAATTTTGTATGGAATTTTTCGGTAGATTGAATACTGAAGAGTAAATGAAGGCATTTACTTAAAACAATGTTATTTAACTCAAACTATACTCTAAAACAGAAAGACAAAACAAAAATAAACAGTTTATATCTCACTTTAGCTAACTAAAAATAAAATATTCTTAATGAAAAACAGAAAAAAAATATAAAATAAAAAATATGTAAGCTATATTGGATAATCATTCTTCCGATTAATTTTTGTATGTTTTTATCAGTCATATTATCTACTAATTATGCTCGACCAAAAATGCGCTCAAACGAATTTCTCCTGGAAATAATAAAATAATCTATATAATCTCAAATCTTCTCAAATAGATTTCTATGGTTTGCACTTTTTTTTGAAATTGCCCATTTGCGTGTTTTATAAGTGCATCTCTTCCACTTTTGATATTAATATCTTTATCACAGACCATGCATTTCGCATAATCGCGCCTTTTATTTATAAAAAAAAATGACTACGAGACAGGCAATACTAATGCTGGTCGAAATCGGAATTACTAAGTACACGAAATCATAGTATAGTATACAAATCGTACAATACAGGCATGGACTTGTCACGAGCCGCTAGGCCTAGGCGATGTAGCCAAATCATCGAGTATCTTCGGTGATTCCCCAGATCCGAAGAATCGGCGTATGTGGCACACCAATGTCACGCAAAGAGAATAATAGTAGTGAAAATGTGAAAAGTGTACAATCGTTTCATTTTTGTTGTATTAATTACACCCATCATTTTTCTCTAATTGTTAGTTAACTGTTATTTCCCGGGGTTGCATGGAAGAGCAACTACGTTGAATGCCGCCTCCCTCATCAAATGAGTTTTTTTTCCTTGCTATTATTTTCACTAAAAAATAAAGACATTATGATTATTATTACTTTTGTCATTCTTTTTATCGCTATGCATCAGAAGTATTTCTCTTATACAGGGTGTCCCAGAAGTCGACGTCAAGCCGAAACCTAGTGATAGGCAAAGTCATAACAGTTATCAAAAAAATATTTAAAAAAATTGTATGTATGTGTTTCGAAAATTATAGGTCTTTGAAAAAAATATAGAAATTTCACACCCTACGGTAGTCGGTCAACTCCTGTTACTACAAATATTAACTTTTTTTTGATTTTATTTTTACAATGTAATGATGAATAATGCATCTTCAAACTGGTGTCTCAACCTTACTGCCAACTTTTCTCGTTCAGGAAAAATTACCACTTATTTCCCAACCAAGTATTCCAAAGTAAAACTTTGCTCAACTTTAACTGGCTGTACTGGAAAAAAATGTACTACGAGAGTTTGGCAAGTAACCTTAAAAGTTGGCGCATTTAATAAGGATTCCAAAATGGTATAACACTTAGAAGATTACTCGTTAACTTATGCACACTTTTTATTTGAAGAAAAACTGATGAAAATTTTACAAAATTTCCTAATTAAACAGCGATTATGAAAACGCACAAGGACCCTTAAGGATAACTGTTTGCACAACAGTGGGCGTCAAAATGCTGCTGATGATGATTTACCTTTACAGCAAATGCTCAAACTGTTTCCCTTCAGCCGCAATACACGCTCGACATCTTCTTAAAAAAGATCGGGTTATTAAACGAGCGAATCCACGGTTATTAGCAAACTCAGCTGCTTCCAATTGTCTTTGCCGTAGCTCAGCTACATTTTGAATCGGCTTGAAATACACGTTTTCTTTTACAGTTCCCCAGTAAAAAAAATCTAACGGGGAATGCAGATGCAACGCTAGTGCTGCAGCGAGACTTTACTGTGAGAGGTACCCGAATGCAGCTCGTCATCCAGATCATCGAGTGTTCACAAATGTGCACCGCTTACTGTTCTCAGAGGGCCAACTACCAAACCAATCACACGGTGGGGGAAGATCTTTCCTTCCTTACGAAGACGTGGGGCTAGGAGCTGTCGAAGAAGACCCGAGTACTTCAGTGCGTGCAATAGAACTAAAAACAGGTGTGCCCAAAAGTATAGCCCATAGAATCTTGCAAAAAAACGTGCTCCATCCATACCACGTACAGCGTGTTCAACCTCTCCTGCACCGGGATTATGAGCCCCCGAGTTGCTTTTTGTCGCACAATGTTAGAAAGACACAGGAAAGATCCACAGTTCTTTGAAAAAATGTTATGGTCGGATGAGACCACATTTAAGAAAGATGGGTACATGAACCTGCATGACTTACACGAGTGACACGTAGCAAACCCACATTTGATGAGAGAAGATACATCTCAATATCGCTTCAAGATAAACCATTGGACAGGAATTTTAAATGGTAAAATAATCGGTCCGTTTGAGTTCCCAGAGACTTTGACTGCTGAAGTTTATTTGGATTTTTTGAAAAATCATGTACAAAATTTATTGGTGGATGTGCCACTGAGTATTTACAGGGACATATGGTTTCAGCATGATGGCTGCAAAGCGCACTATGCACTCTCAGTGAGAGAGTATCTCGATCAAAACTTTCCAGGCAGATGGATAAGGCGGTCTGGTACAATACCGTGGCCAGCCCGATCACCTGATTTGAATCCTTGAGATTTTTTTACTGGGGAACTGTAAAAGAAAAAGTGTATTTCAAGCCGATTCAAAATGTAGCTGAGCTACGGCAAAGACTATTGGAAGCAGCTGAGTTTGTTAATAACCGTGGATTCGCTCGTTTAATAACCCGATCTTTTTTAAGAAGATGTCGAGCGTGTATTGCGGCTGAAGGAAAACAGTTTGAGCATTTCCTGTAA